TTGGTGTTGAGATCAGACCATGTCTCTCATGCTCGGGGGCTAGGAAACCACTAGTGTCTGGGAATGTGGGTGCTGCTGCCGTAGTCAGTTATACTTACTGGGAGGGGATAAAACAAGTAGTCACTTCTCCCAAAATGGAAATAAAACACAGGCTGGCCAAACCCACTTGTTCAGGTCACTCACTGCAGAAGTCACCCATCTGAAGATGCACCTTTAATGGTAGAACAAAGGGCTGGCACCACCCTTGACTAAAAAACATTTTCCTCCAACTTTCATAGAGTAAGTATTCTGGCATTTCATAATACTTTCCTAATCCTCACCTGAGGATATGTTTATTGATTTTAAAGAGGGAAGGAGAGAGGAAAAGCATCAATGTAAGAGAGAAACATTGATCAGTTGCCTTCTGTACACATCCCAAATGGAGATCAAACCTGCAACCCAGGTATGTACCCTGACTGGGAATCAAACCCGCAACATTTTGGTATGTAGGACAATGCTCCAACCAACTGAGCCACTCAGCCAAGGCTGGCATTTTATAAAATTTAATAGCATATCAGATGCCCTTTATTAGTTTGTCATAAATTTAGGTCACCCTCTTCAGAATTTCAGTGCTCCACTTTAGTTACTACATTTTTCACACCACCACCTGCTTCCTGCCTGTGTCATTACAAAAGCAGTATTTCATCTTTTTAAAAAATCAGACCTGTGTCACTTTTCATTCTCCTGTTTAAAATAGGCCCAGTTTTAGAAAAGGACAGTAATATAGAACTGAAAACTAAGTTCAGCAAATATTATCACTTTAACTGAATGGTTGATTTATTATCAAAGGGAGTATAAAATGTACATCACAGTTAGTTATACATTAAAGAAGAATTTTTTAAGAGCAGAAAATAACATGAAATTAGAACTCACCTGTTAAATTCAGAGAGTACCATAATTATGAGACTAGAAAAGATTGTAGTCCATTACATATGCTAATGAAAATAATATAAAAGGCCAACAAGAAACAAATAAAAAAAAGAATCAGGACTAAAAGTAGAGTGAGGGGAAAGCACTGCATTTTGTGGCTGTGAGGAATCACAGAGTGATTTAAAGTGGCATCCAGGTCATGCCGTGTTTGGGAACAGTGGGCCAGAGAGGTTGAGTGGAGTCCCCCAGCTCCTTAATGACAGTGCTGGGGACAGAATCAATGATGCTTAGGAGCAGGAAGGGGATACACTTACAGAACTAACCTCAGACATCCAGGTGAAAGCACGGGTATTTAGCAAAAAAATAATTTTGTGATAATTAGCAGAGCAGTACTGTCCTATAGCTAATAATGCTTTTGTTTTCAGATTCCTTTGAAACGTGCAATTAGCGATATATAGAGGGAAAACATGGAATATTTGTGTATCATGCAACTCCTATGCACCTGATAGTTGTGTGTGTGTGTGTGCGTATATATATCTCCACACCCATATATGGCCTGCCTTCCATATCCATGGCTTCCACTTACAGGGATTCAATCAGTCATGGACGGAAGATACTCAGAAAAAAATGTGTTGCCCTGTAGCTGATGTGTCCTCTGTAGTTAGGCCTCCAATGGCTGCATCTGAGCATGCACAGGCTTCTTTCTCATCATTATTTCCTGAACAGTATACTAGAACAGCTGCTTACATAGCATTTGCATTATATGAGGCATTAGAAGTCATCTAGAGATGATTTAAAGTACACGGGGGGATGTGCATAGGTTACATACAAACACTACCATTTTCTATAAGGGACTTGAGCATCCTCAGATTTTGGTGTCCTGGGGGTGGGGGCAGGGTCCTGGAATCAATCCCTCATGGATACCAAGGGGGATTGTATACAGATGCATGTGTGAAGCATGGGTATCTTGGGATAGCCCACAAGGTAAATATTATCAGCATTTATATTCATAAAGAAACCAAGGCTCAGTGACAGTAACAAAATTGTCCAAGTTCACATAGCTGCCAAAGGACATGCCTAGATTTGAATCCACTTGTGTCTGATTTGAAGTACATGACCCTCTCGTACTGTGCATCATACATCAGAGGCAAAGAGTTGTTCCTCCCCCATCCAGATGCATTTGATACCCTTCTGGCATGTGGAGGGGGTGACTCAGAGTCTTTGGGCGGGGGTTGCAGGAACATCATAGACCAGCAAGCTTACCCAGGCTCAACTAGCACCCAACTAGCCTGTCTGGGTTGTGATGGGCCATGTTCAGCTAATGAGCCCGCTCCTCCCAGGACCCTTCTAATTAGCCAGAACATGTTCAGAAGCTTGCACAGAATGAATGGTATTATGATATAAAGTAGTTAAGTACTTTTTGAAACAGCTTGAATTGAATGCCCAGTAGGTAGTTTACAAAAGGGGTCTCCTACATGACATGCAATCTAATTCTCCTTGGTCTGCCACTATTGACTAGGTCTCCTGTGCATCTGAGCACAGTAGAATTTTTGTTCTCAAAGCACCGTTTTGCTGAATCCTGATGCCTTGTGCAATGGAAAGGAAGTGTGGTTTACATAATCCAACGTGGGCTCGGTAAGACAGTACACAAATCATCTATGTTTGGGTGGGAATAATTTGTATTCCTTCTACTGAATGAGTTTTTTTCAATTTCCCCCTTTTTGGGCTTAAGTCAATATTGAAAGTTATGGAATATAAATTAATGGCCGAAACTCTAAAAGAGATGCAGAGTTTGCTGCTGGTAATAACACCTTCCACTTCATCAGGCCTCACATGTGCCTGGTACTGTTATAACCACTTTGCAAATGTTCTCTCACTTAATCCTTACAACAGTGTGTGTGTGGAGTGGTACTAGTATTTCCCACACTTCACAGTTGGGAAAACGGGCACAGAGGTTAAGTAAATTGCCCAGAGTCACATAGGAGGAAGATAGTATAAATAGGACCCAAGACTGGGCAGTCTGGTTACTAAGCCTGCTCTTGTGATCACGGCTTCATACAAGAAAAACCATAGAGGTGAGAACCAAGCATCGGAAATGCCAGCTAAGTTACTCCAGGTTGCACGATGAGTAAGACGAGCAGCTGTGGTCCGCCCAGTCTCCGGGACTCTCTCAGGTTGGGCTCTTTTCCTTGCAGGTCCTGCTTCAAGAATGGCCCACGTCCATGTACTACGAAAAGAGCCCGGCTCCTCATGGTGTTTGTTGGTTCCCTGAGGCTGGCACTGCCATGGGACTACAGGTTCTAGCTCCCAAGGTGAGAGGCCGGGCGCAGGCCCCACCGTGCATTAGCATTGCCCTGAAAAAAGGCGAACCTTTTCCTTTTGAATTCAATACCTTTTGTGTACATTTGCGATGAGATTATCCTCTTTGCTCTTAACAGCTCTTTTCCAGATTTTTTTACTTGCCTACACTCTAGCCTGTCTAAATAAGTAATGATAAATTAACAGTTCAGTTCAAAAAGCACCTCTAGAAAATAACAGGCTTTTATTTCATAAAGGGTCTTGAAATGAGTGCTTTTTCCCAATTAACAATTGCAGAATAAAAACATCTCAACCTCAGGCAGCATCAGAACTACTTATTGTCCATGGAGATTCAAAGCCCTGGGTTCCTCAGCAGTCCCTCCACAGCTGGGTCTCTTTGGGCACCTAAGCTGGAGGGATCCTCCTATGCAAAATGAACTCTGATTAAAGGAGCTACTGTCTGAAAACATTTTTGGTTCTGGAATTGCCTAGCTCTGTTTTTACCCTGGCCCCTAGGCCTAGCTAGCCTCCCCTCTCCAGGCAAACTGGTATCAGATAGAATCAACAGACAGCACAATAAATAATTGATCTGAAACATGTGCTTCTAATTCAAATAAAGAGCCTTTACCCATGGTGCACAGTGCACGTGATCCAAGTTATTTCATGTGGAAATTTGAAGGTTTCTGATAACTTTCTGTAAAGAAGTTTTCACAGGGTCTGAACCTCTTGGGGCTCTTTCTGTCTCAAATTCAAGTTACTCAGATAGTGATTAAGGATGTTTTATAGGCCCCTGTGGTAAATTATAGGCTAGAGAGAAAAAAAGAATTCTCTGGCTGTGTAATTTAGCAAGACTTAATCTATCTGTTTGGGTTTTCATCCTCCCGGCTCGCTGAAAACGTTACATGATGAACCTGTTTCTCCGAGGCCCACTGAGGCGCCCGAGTTCCCACGGACGGTCTGACTTCAGTGGTTACCCAGCTCAGGTTACTGTGTCCTCTTTACTTAGAAGCCCCTCCATCTCGGTCCAGCTGCTTTTTCTTGGGATGACAGACTGGAGATCCAGCATTCTTTTACTCGGCAGCATAAACCAACGGGTCCAAATAGCAAAGGGCAATAGTTTATTTACGTTTACATGTTCCTTGTTAGGTACTCAGCAACTAGGAGACTAATGAACTTCGACATGTAGCCATGTCGAATTAAGTCTCCGAACGCTACCCTAAAGATCCCCAACATTCCTGAGGAAAGGAGCACAGAGTGACATGACAGGACAAGATGCCATTTGTCCCCAGCCAAATGTCATGACCCAACAACAGAGTTGTAAGAGGACCGCACGAAGTTAGTTTCGTCAACTGGGCACAGGGAGAGAACTTGAGGATTGACTGGAACTTAACATTTTTCTTCCTGAAGAAAAGCTGTGAAGCGATGCAGACCAGGCCCGGTTTCCTGGCAACACTATGATTTTGTCTCTCCGGGAAAAGGCCCCTGTGGGAGGCCTTGCTTGCTCTCTGCCCACAGATGTATCTGAACCGAGTCTCTACGACAAGCTTTCGTTTTCAAAGACCTCAAATCCAGGAGAACCTTTGCAGAGAACTTGCCAAGCGCCTCCCCACTGTTTCCCTCTGTGTGTCTGAATTACCCCTACTGACATTCTGTGTGTGGGGCCCAAAGTTACTTTCTGCCGCAAATGGGTCATGCTGCTCCTTTAAAAATGAAAGTGAGAGAGAGAGAGAGGCCACACCAAATTTAGAACTGAGGCAGGGCTCCGTGATTTACAGAGGACCAAGGGTCGTTTCTAGAAGTTCACAAGCAAAGTTTATTTAGACACATAGGCATGTTCACACACACAAAAGGGCTTGCAGAACATTCAGAACAGAAGAACCAATGCTTATAGTCAGGGGAGCTAACAGCCTGCTTTATACAGAGAAGTTGGTTTCTAATCTTTTAAATAGGTGCAGCCCAGAGAATCTACTTTGCACAAATCCTGGCCAACTCAGAAGTAATGAAATACAAATATCTCCAGAAAGGATCTAGATTTCTTGGTAGATGTTTATACAATTGAATAAGTTGGTGTGGTTGGCCTCCCTGGGGGTGGGAAACACAGTCCCAGCAGAGTTCTGCTTTGTAGCCTGAGTCTCGGTGGATTTCAGGTCCCTAGCCCCAGTGACAGTCTCATTAAAGCACGGAGTGTCACTCTGGGAAAGGGAAGGAAGGAGCTAAAAGGCAGCAGGCCAGGCAGTCCTTTTATCAAGGTCACTCAGCCATTGGTGCCTCAGAGGGATTTCCAGGCCGAAGTAATTCTTGTGTGTTTGTTTGACAGTAATAGTGGCATTTCCTCAACTTCCCAGAAACTATGTGGTTTCCACAGAGACCCTGTCCATCCAATGTCAGGTACAAGTTGGCCCTAACATGGACATCATCTTTTCCTCGCCAGCCTTTGTTCCCTGCGGAATCGCCTTTAGGTACCCCCCTCACTGTGTCAGGAAGAAATTGCATTCACGTTTGTGCCTGCAGAAGTCTGGAGCTACGCAATCTCGGGGTGCACCCCGTTCTCCTCCTTTTCCAGCCTCCCTCAGAAGGCGTGTCCTCATTCCCATGAGTCCCACAGAAGCTGCAACTACCAAGTGTGAAGTTCAAAAGGATTGATGCAGGGAATGAAGGGCACATTCCAGTAAGTCAGCCTTTCTGAAAGATCACATCCAGAGTTCTGCTGACACCTCATGGCCCAGAACCATGTCATGGAAACATCAAACATGCCTAACCCCACTGCTGCAAGGAAGACTGAAAAGCATAGTTGACTTTTTTTTTTTAACCTGGACACATTACAGTCCCAATTGGGACGCTCTTAGAAAGACACACAGAATGAGATATTTGATGGCCTGAAAATTAAAAATATCTACCCACTGTTCTGCCTCAAGGATTAAGTATATCTGTGCAAAGACCTCATAGAGCTCGATGAATAGGTCGGTGGTCTGTGAAAATGGCACTTTCCTTCTCCATCCCTGGGCTCCCTCATGTGCCCTATGGACAGGATACAGCACGGAGTGAAACCAATGCCTTGATGCCACGGTTGGTTTTCCACCGAAGTTCACTGAATAATTTCATCTTTAGGGAGAAGTCAAGAAAGAATAGTCGACCTACTTCTCCTCACTGACACAGCATTTGATGCCAGAAAGGCCGTTTTGCACAGCGTCTTCTTGCAGTGCTGACAGAGCACTTAATTGCAATTCAGATACAGCTGTTCGACAAGCTGTCCCAAACCCAGGAGGACGGCTGGTAGTTCTGCCTGCATTCTAATTCTATGAGAAAAGGATGTCATTGCTGTGCATCACACCCGCTGCTGACCTCAGCGGCGGAGCTCACACCACCTGGAACGCAGGCATACGTACACACTTTCTGTGTTATTTGGGGGATCTTTATTATCAAGTAACTCCTTGGGGTGTCAAAGCATGTTATAAACTCTAAACAGAAAATAAGAGATAAATGCTACATGGGAATGCCAGGTTTACATTCTATTCTGGGTAAGAGAATTTGACAACAGAATGTACTTATTGAACATTGGTGTCTCTACTGCAGTGCTCACACAGTAAGGTTGTGGGTAGACAGAGTCCAGGAACCAAAGGAAAGCAAAACAACATGAGTAGATGGTAGTAGGCAAAAAAATGCATTATTTGTCTCTCCAACATTAAGCATCAAGACAGTTTTGCAACCTGTGGCCTGAACAAATCTCTCATCCATGAAAAAAACAGAAATAAAAATTTTGCACGTGTTCAGTTACAAAGTAACTTTGTTGCTCACAGGCAAAAGAAAGAATGAAGGGAAGGAAGGAGGGAAGGTAGGGAGGGAGAGAGGAAAGAGGAAGGCAAAAAAGAGAAAAAAAGAAGAAAAACACTTTATATACCTATGTATTTTACTTCTATTGGTCATCTTGGAGTATGTAATTTAGTTCAATTTACCTGTGTGCTTTAATTTAAATAGAAAGAGAGAGGAAGATTTCAAAAAGCCAGAACTATGTGTGTTTATGTATTTAAATAAAATAAATAAAAATCTACAGCATATATTGATTGCCAACTCAAAAACAATGTTAAAAAATATAGATAATTCTGAATGTAGCTAATAACTCCAACTTATAAAGCAAAGTGACTCTTCATCACAGGTGACTGAATCTGTATTTAAAGTAGTCATGATTAACATCTTTTAAAACATGGAAATAAAATATACAGATGTACCCCATGTCTTCAAATTTAAGCAATTTTATAACCCTCAGCTTCTCCATTTAATAACTTGCATTAAATTCCTTAATTATATTTTCCAAAATCTTCAGTTTAAATGATTGTTCTAAATTCCATAGAAAATTTTATTAAAATCCACAGTTTAAGGTATTTATGTTTTGTAAAGTGATCAAGACAGGCAGCATCATACCTGCTTCTGGGTGCAAATAATACCTTTTCCCTTGCCTCCCCCAACCCCTGAGAAAAGAAAGGTTCCATCCCTCACAGAGCCAGTCCAAGAGGCTGTACTTTAGGACACCGCACGCCTTTCTTCCCCAGCGGCCCCAGTATGTTTACAGCTGCTGTCTGCTCCCTCCCCCCGTCTCCACGATCCTGTTCCCTCACCCTGTCTTTGGGGAAGGTGGGAGGTGGGCATAAAATGCCTGCTTGTCAAACCTACCAAGGTCAGGGTTGCTTTATTTCTGCCCTTCCTGGCTGGAGTCAACCAAGGCACCTGAGAGAAATACTGCTCTAAATAATACCACCTTTTCTTCTGCCTCCTGGGTTAGAGGAAAAATGGCTTCTAGCACTCACCGACCATTACCTGGGCAAGGGGCTGTGGAGGAGCCATCTGAATTGGTGGCACTGCCTATTTCTCACAGTCACCGACTCTTCTTACTGATGCTAAGACACAATGAGGGCACACAAAGGGACTCGGATGGAAAAATTGATGTCACACTTAAATATCTCAACATTGCAACCTACTAAATACATGTGCTTCATATCTTGGTTAGATGATATGATTTTTTATAGGAAGCCACTCGTTATACTACCAATTTTGATACATTAAAATTACTATTGATGCTGATTGTCTATTCTACTTTTTATGTACTCTAGCATCTTACCTTTCTTCCCAATTATTGAATATTACACCTGCAATTCAAGATACAAGTCGATGGAATAATAAAAGCAGGTGAAATTCATACGAGTCAATCAGACTCTTATGAATTATATTAGTAGCATCCCTAATACAAAATTTGCTAGCAAAAAAAAGTGTAAATGATGGGCCCTATGTAATTTTTAGATTATCTTTTGTCAAGTTTTACCTGTTCTTCTGACTCCCCATCAGCATCGCACAGAACTATAACATTCTTTTAAAGCCCTTTTCATTACTAAAACTTGCCTTAAGGTAATTACTAGATAGTAAAATGATTAAGTGCAATTACAGTGTGTGACTACATCTGGGATTCTACAGAGATTCTGTTTAAAGTCAGGAGAGCTTTCTGATAAGGTGCTTCCTTACACTCATCGATGGCGGAGGTGGAGGTCTCCTCCGGACCTTCACAGCTGTTGACAATGGCAACTGCACTAAATGACCTTCTTCTGACCTTGGTTTCCGACACGCCGCCAGATCCTCTGACTGGGGGAGCCTTTTCTATGTTGTGGAGCTGCTGGTCTTTCCAGTCCAGTTGTTTGGCACTGCAAAAGGGCGCGTACACCTCAACGCTGCTCTCAAACTGTAAGCAGTTCACTTTGTAGTACTTTCTCTTCACTTCCAAGACATCATTGAACCTGTGGCCCCAGAGAATTTCCCGGGGAACGTAGGAACTCCTGGATTGGTGGGAAGTCCCCGTGGAGTCCCCGGTATAGATGAATGTCACCAAAATCTCAAAGTTATCTTTGGCCACTGCTTTCCGGTCAAGGGCATACAGAGGGCTCTCGTGGTCAATTTCATGAACAATAGTCACCGGTGTGACGAGGATGATCTGGTCGTTGACCAGCTTCAGGTCTTTGAACGCCATGGTCATGCGCCCTTCGCTGTCCTCCGAGTAGCGGAGGAGCTGGGCGCGAACCGTGCCTTCCACCACGTGGTTGGGTCGGAAGTCCCCGATGCGCCACATGAGGCAGAGCTTCCCGTCTCTCATGCCGATGAGCGCGAAGTAGCTGAAGCGGATGGTCTGGGCCCGCTTGCGCGCGGTTGCCATCTTGGCCAGCGCGGCCCCGATGATGAAGGTGTTGATGATGCAGCTGAGGATGGACTGCAGGATCACCGTGAGCACGGCCACCGAGCACTCCTCCGTGACGCAGCGGTACCCGTAGCCGATGGTGGTCTGGGTCTCCAGGGAGAACAGGAAGGCCCCCGTGAAAGAATGGACGTTGTCGACGCAGGGCGTGATGTCTGGATTGTTTAACAGGTCTCCGTGATGCAAGGCTATGAGCCAAAAGATCGAGCCAAATATCAACCAGGAGAGAATGTAGGACAGAGAGAATATCACGAACATGTGGCGCCACTTGGTGTCCACGAGGGTGGTGAAGATGTCCACCACGTAGCTGCCCCACTCTCCGAAAATGTGCTTGAAGTACACGTTGCAGCTGCCGTCCTTGTGCAGCAGGCGCCTGCGGGCTCGCCGCTTCTCGGCGAGCAGGTGCTCCGGCGGGTACCCGGGGTACTTGGGGTCCACGTTCACGATCGGGTAGCTGCTGCCGTAGTAGCTCATTCTCTCCTGCGCCCTGCGGGCATCCAGCTGACTCCTGTCACCGAAATGGGTCTCTGCGCCTTGCTTTCTGTTGGTTTGGGTTTCCAGTTAAAACCTGAAAAAAAAGAAAAGAAAAGAAAATTAAACTCACTTTAACTCTAGCTTTCATCTCCATCTTAATAGCAATTTGCCGAATGCGAAAGCAATTTTATGCCACTTGAAATAGCCGACTTCATTGGAACGACAGAGGCTCTCAGTATTGATTACTCATTTCAGTTTAGGATTCAATGCAGTCATTATGGGAACAAAATATGAATTAGAGAAAATAACCTTTTTATAAATGCATGAAGCTTGAGTAAACACGATGATTATCCCAAATGAAGCATCACTACTGTTTCTGAACTAACCTAAAAAAATACCTTTTTTTTTTGTAGACTCTTCTGGCATGAGGGCATTTAGAAAACAAAATAATCTATAATATAAAAAGGCAGAATAGAATTCAGATATTTATCTAGAAGTCTTACAACCTTTCTACCTGTTTAAATAAAATGGTTTTCCCTAAAAGAAGGAGGCATTGAAGAGTTTCTATCTTCATGCGAAAATGTAACTTACATACTGGTCGCTATAACATAGTCCCTCGCCTTTAGCACCTGTTGCTTCCTCTCTCCTCCACGGAGGTTGTTCTTCCTTGCGTGCTTCCCAGGACCGGGCAGAGCTGATTGGAACACTATTTCAGATTCAACTCCTTTACCCCAGCTCTACCTTTAGTCTTGAGAGGAAAAAAATATCTTTCTTAACCCCAGAGGAGTTAAAACCACTCCCAGTTAGGCTGTCAGTAAGGTATAAAATTGCTTGTGCCTTTGTCTCACAACATCCATCTTTTCTTTCTTTCTTTTTTTCTTTTTGGCACTGGAGGCTCTTCTCTGTACTTCTGAATAGAAGCCCCAAAATTTGCCAAAGTTGCTAATCTTATTGCCCTCTTAAAGGGAGCATACTTCCAATGGACCCCTCCCTCCTGCTTTTCAGTCCTGTCTCTGATGTGTCCACGGCCATCCTGAAGCAAAGCCATCTTTGTCCCTCCAAATTCACTCTGCAAAAATATTAAGGCAGAACATACAGTTCTTAATGCCTTTAGCATTTCATGGTCTAGGCTAAAGTCTGAAAGCAAGTTTTAAAAAATCAATGTTAAACAATCTTTAGTTACTTCTATGCAAAATTAAGAATTCACTGCAGCCCAGTATTAATGGTTTAGTAATTATTCGAGAATGTTTTCCACACAGTCTACCTGTGCTGGGTGCCGGGAGGGAGCACAAGAAGAAGGTGACACTTCAGAGATCCTGCGACTCTGCAGCACTGATCGATGCAGTCGGAGTAATTACTATTCCTGACATTGAGACCCCCGACACACTTGAAACCAACCAAGGAAACTGATCACTAAATACTTATCCAGCCTGCCTTCTAGCTGCAAAAGAGAGGAAATAGTTAATTTCCCTCCAGTCAGAAGGCATCGTTTTTCCTCCTCTCCAGGGATCAGGCCCACGTTACAATAAACACTTTGTTTGGTGGACCACTGTGAGGATGGACACTCGGCCAGAAAATCCCACAGGGCACGTAGGAGTTTCTCTCTGTCCAGCTCTCTGCCGGGGCCATGCCGCCCACCCTCCTGCAGATCTGCTTTTGAGTAGTTGGCCTCTCCTTTGTTGACCCTTCATTGTGTTTTGGGGTGACAGTCGTATAAATTCAGGACGTGACCCAAGGCTGAGAAAATGCTTACTGGAATGTTGAATGGCAGATATTTCCAACAAAGTTTGTCCACAACATATATCATTCCCTGTAGGTTCCAGACTGACGTCCCAGTTTCCACTCTCTCGCCTGGTCATTGGAGGCAGGAGAATGGAGCCAATTATAATCAAAGACCCATATGATTTGAAACTCAAAAGCGTATTTGGAGATAGGATTGTTTTCTTACTGAACACTTCCAACCCAGTTCCTTAAAGGGACCTGCACCAACCGTGGGAGTGCGAGAATGAGAAAAGCACAGTTCATAAATCAAGAGCTACTGTGTGACTGTGATCTTTTCTGCTGCCAACAGAAAAATGATTTTTATTTGAAATGGCATTTGGTTGGCATCACTTTCAATTCCAGAGGTGCCAACAACTTTTATAAATAAGCCAGTTTAAAAACACCTGCGTTAGTATGCTAATTGGCAAATGAATCTTCAATTAAGACAAGCAACAAGTGAGCAAATTTGAGGATGTGGAAAGTTTCTGAATCATGTAACAATTTCAAGGATACAAGTGAGAATTCTGCCCCAAACGCACCACATTCTCTGCTGTGGTTCCTTACTGGGGTTGTTCCTTTTCACTTTCCAGAGAAAAGTTTTGAGATTTTGATTAGGTGCACTCACTTTATTCTTAGATTAGGTTAGGTGCACTCATCTATTGTTAGATTTTCCAACCCTATAAAGGATGCATTTTCTAAAAGGCTGTTGTTTTTAAGCTAAATGATAGAATATAAGCAAAAATTTTTCTTCAGTCTTAACCATTTTCAGGCTGCTTGATGAGTGAAGAAGTTTATGGAGGCTGTTTCGCCAAAATGGCTAGACAAAATAAGTATGTAGTAATCTGCTTCATATATTACCTTAATTAGAACAGTGTTCCAATTGTTTACCATTAAATAATAGAAGACAAGACTTGTTGATTGACTGGTAGTCTATAATGTTTGTGTTTCTCAGGATTAAAACTGGCTTTCAAAGTTCCTTCAAGCCTCCATAATCACCTTGTCACCATCCATTCCATCGTGGAAAAGCATTTGTGATATTCTTACTGCTGAATTTCTTTTTTGCATTTTGTGCTCCTTGCTCTCTGGAAAGAGATGGCGGTCGTTGTATTGGTTGTAAAATTCTTTTAAAAAATGGAAGTTTGATCATTGTAATTTCAAAATTGTGGAGTATAGAGTTGACAAGTAAATGCTGAATCGGGTAAGGTCCCCCTTCTTCACCAGGTTCAAACTGTTTCTCTGGGTGATTAATGGCAAAGGTAGAAAAAGGACCACAATTTCTTGGCTGTGACATGAAGCGCTTTTCTCAGTGCAGCCAGGGCAAGAGACAGAGCGCAGTCTGTCTCAGAGCGCAGTCGGGAGGCTGGGGGTTCCTGGGAAGGCGACAGAAGCCATGATAATTTGCAAAGACACTTAGGACAGCGCTTCGGCAAGATGACCCCATTCACTGCCACCCACGGAGACAGAGGAACTTAGAGGGGACTGCTGACCCCATCCTGACAGTGACTTTCCTCAGAAGTTCTTTCTTTTATTAAGTTCAGACATTTAAAAAAAATTTCTTAATGTACTTCGACCGGTGAGATTGGATATTTGTCCTCAGTTTCCTAGATCTTTGTATGACTCCAAGGAGAAACCTTTACTGATTCGGTATATTTCAAATATGCAACACACATGACAGGGAACATTTTCAGCAAAACAAGTAAGTAACACCCTGTGGATTTGTCTCCGACTCTCGATGCGCAAACGTGCCTCCGTTGGACTCACCAGTTTCGAAGCAACCTCTCTACCGTTTTGCCTCAGCTTCTCAAATTCAGCTGTTTACCAAGCAGACTACTCGTGTGGATAATTCTTCAAGCTTAAGCTTTTCATTAGCATGTTGAGGGCACAACACAATGGTTAAGACTTTATAATCCTCTGTCGCTTTGATAATAAAATTTGATCTTCTCTCTAGACCTACTTAATATAAACACCATCATAGTAACCACAAATAATGGCCTCAAGTATGATGAATTCATTTTATGAATGCCAACAGCCTTTCAGATTCACCAGTATCTTTTTTATAATGCAAATGACTTATGTGAAGTCGTCACTGGTAATCAAGTTACTTGCCTGGCGACTTTTAGGCCAGATAAATTGTACTGGGAACTTGAGAGTGATGGGGTAGAGAGCAGGAAAGATGGCCTAAATTCCATGTGCAGGTCACTGTCCTTGAGAACAGGCTTGGGTGGAGCTTTGTAGTACGTGGGGAGGGGCACTCGAGGGTCAGAGAGAAGGTGTGGTCAGGTGACACACAGGGGTGGGCTCTGGTTGCTGAGCAGGGAAGAAAGGGGGTGTTAATGAGATGCAACAGAACCCAAACAAGTTAGGTTATTTTGCTCAAAACTCGTCCTACCACTCGTTGCCTTGGAATTATGCCTGAGCCTTATCTTGCCTGGAATCCTCCTGAGACTTTCAGGCACACTTAGGTGGAGCCTGCCATTCAGCCACAAACACCTGCTTCACCCCGTACCTGCTGTCCACCCTTCTCCAAGTACTCTCAGTCTCCCGAACTGCACAAAGTTTCTCCTTGGCTGACAAACCCATGGGGTTCTCATGTGTCCTTCTCAGCTACTGTCATCCCCAGAGCAGGCTTGGGTTTTACCAGTGTCCATGGATTTTACCTTTTTCCTGATACAACCTGATCATTTCTCCTTCTCAATCAACTTCAGAAAGTTTCATGACACTTAATGATAAAGAGGGACATGTAATGTGTTATGAGCAAACAACTAGACTGGCAGCTGGTGCTGGGGAGGAGAAGCAGAGGCCCCGAGTTGCTAGGAACTTTATCTGGAGACCCTTTTAGGAGCCAGCTTTTCCTGAAATAATAGCTCTATCCCAGTCATGAACCCTGCCTCACCCCAAATGATGCTGTGTTTTATAAAGGAGGAGAAATGTGGAGGCTGGAATGACGTTTCTTCATTTTCTGGATGTCGACATAGTACCAAAGTAACGTGAGTTATGATACTAAATTATTCTGGTTCAGACATTAAGTTACCTTAATAAGAAGTAGTCTGAAATGCAATGATTTTTTGTTTTGTTTTGTTTCGTTTTTGTACAGAACCCAAGCATCGGGCAGCAGATTCCAGGTCCAGGTCAGTCCTCACGCTCCCGTGTCAGGTCGCTTGTCTCGCACCTCAGTGTCTTCCTCCATGAAATGGGGTGACACCTGCCTCGCTGAGGTACTGGGAGGCTGAATGAGATAATCAGTGGGAAGCTATCTCTTGCTGTGCTGAGCACATAGTCGTGACTCCATAAATAAATGTTCCTCAAATTCGAGTCCCGTGAGGACTCAGTTTC